TTAAAAGATTTTTCCAACCTTGTAGATGTAAACTAATAATTTATATTTCTATGATTTTAAATAAATCAGAATTGAGTATCTCTTCATATATTTCCTTCGGTTTTATTTCCTGCTTTGTTAATTCAACTTCTCTGGCTGTACATGAAGTAGAGTCACACCATTTGTGCAATCATACATTTACCTAGGGTAATTATGTCAGTTTCATTTCACCATCTTTCCTACCCCTTCCCCCTACCCATTGCCCCATCCAAAGTTCCTCCATTCATCACATGTCCCCACCCCCCAATTATGGATTAGCATCCACTTATCAGAACAAACATTTGGCCCCTTTTGGGGGGGATTGTCTTATTTTGCTTAGCATGATATTGTCCAACTCCATTCATTTACCTGCAAATGCCATAATTTTATTCTCTTTTGATGTTGAGTAATATTCCATTATGAATACGAACCACGATTTCTTTATCCATTCATCTACTGAAGGGTGACTAGGTTGGTTCCATAGTTTAGCAATTGTGAATTGTGCTGTTGTAAACATTAATGTGGCTGTGTCACTGTAGTATACTGTTTTTAAGTCCTTTGGGTATAGACCAAGGAGGGGGATAGCTAGATCAAATCCAACCAGAATCTTTTAAAAACCAATTTATCTCATTTTACATTGAACAAAAGTTCAAAATGTAGCAATCTTTTGCATTAAGGCTCTTGCTTTGCATATTTTCAGCAAATCATTTCTATCTCTGAGATAATAATAAAATGAGTCCCCTACAATTCCTTCTAAAATCTTTAACATTTGACTTTTTAGTTTACTTTAGAACATTTAGTTCTCAATTCACTCAAATTTGGATTTTGTCAAATATTTAGTTTTATTTTATTTTTTCCATTTGGATATCTGGTTTCCTATTACTAATCCGTGAGTAATCCATCAGGTTGCTGTTGTCTGCAATCTCACTTCTATAGCATTTCAAGTCTCCCCCTGTGCAAGGGAGGGTGGTGGGACCCATTCCAATCACCTACATGTCTACCTTTGTACCAACACCACACTGTATTCCAAGTATTGATAGATAACAACATCCCACATTCCTTGCTTTGTTTTTCTCCCTAGTATATATTACTTTCTTACATGTTTAGTAATCCATTTAGTCATCCATTGCTGTGGTAATAAGCCATCCCGAAACTTAGTGCCTAAGACAAGGACTTGTTACTTTTCACAATTCTATGGGTTAGGCAAGAGTTTCTTTTGCTGATCTTACCAGGACTCCTATACTCAATTGGAAGGTTGGCAGGCACTGGAGCTGGACCCATCTTGAACAGCTAAGACTCTTGGGTCTCTATCTCCACTGGCCTTTATTACTAAGGAGACAAGACTGGATATTTACACGGTAGTAGTGCCCCAAAAAGGCGGGCCCCAGGAGGCACAAGCATTCACCAAACGTCTTCTTGTATCACATTTGCTGCTATCCTATTGGACAAAAAAGTCACATGACAAAAGCAGAGTGAGTGAGGTTTGGTTGTCTTCTCCTATTAGAATGCAAGGGCCACAACAGCTGGAATTTTTCTATTTTCTTCACTGCTATAACCCCAATGCCTAGAACAATGCCTGGCACATAATTCTTGAGTAATCCATCCAGTTGTTATTGTCTGCAATCTCACTCAATCTTACTCTTTTTCCAGCTATTTATGTTTTTTTGATTTTTGGTCCTCTATACATGAGGCATAATCAATCAGAGCTCATCACAATCTTACTCCAAAGCTTACCACAGAGAATAATGCTCAGCTTTTATTTCAGAAGTTTTAAGGGAATGGGCATATCTTTACAGAGCCAGGAGTACCCTACAAACAAATATTGCTCAGTACTAAATTACCTGGCCCAAAACTTCAGAATAATTCTGGACAATTTATCTGTGCATGTCCAGAGATCCAGTCTCTTCTGGGAGATCTAGTCATAATTTCCAGCTCAGTTAAATAGTCTTGAAAATGAACTATAGTCATGTTGATGCTTTAAATATATCAGTGGTAACCCTTGGTATAGGAATGAGCTATATCAAATTTTCTAGTTGTGCTGTCTGCATACAGATGCTGCATAGGGTTTAGGATCCATGATGCTTATTAGGGATCAACACCAGTACAAGGAAAGTCAGGAGAGAAGCAGTAGAAGTATTGTGCATCTTTGACAACCTGGCAGGGAGCCTGGGTGGGAGCGTTGCCTCCAGGTTGTTCAACATTAGGTTGAACCAACTAGGTCTTTGTACCACATCCCCCATCTCCCTCAACTGCCTTGCTCAGTAACCACATGAGGGCTGTTCTGAGAAGGATGGGACCTCTTTGCAGCTGAGGCCACCCTGAAGGAACTGACTACTGAGTGCAGGCTGCTGACTCACCCCCTATATTTGGGCGGCAAGTCTTTCCTTGAAGGGCATCTGGGCACACAATTCCATGTCTCCTTCCTGAGATTCTGAATTGATTATAACACTCTTTTTAAAAATTATATTTTTAGGTATAGATGGAGACAATACCTTTATTTTGTTTATTTAGTTTTATGTGGTGTTGGGGATTGAACCTAGGGCCTCACACATGCTAGGCTGTTACTCTACCACTGAGCTACAACCCCAGCCCATGATTATTATAACACTCTTGTTCTATCAATTACTAGACTCTGTGGAAGGTTTGTTATTTACAGGGCTTGGTGGCAATTTTTGATTGGTGCTTTTGTAGATCCTACAAAGATTATAATCTTAATCCTTTTGATTTTACTGCTACCAGAGGTACCTGGTTTTTTTTTGTTGTTGTTGTTGTTGTTTGCTTTTTTGCTGTTGTAGTTGATTGGAGGTAGGTTTTATTGATGGGTATGATTAAGAAATCATAGCACTGCACAGTAGAAGCCCAGGGGACTGCTATTAGGGATGCATTTGACACTACTATTATTCCAGATGAACCATTTTTCAGTTACCTTATCTTCAAATTCATCTGCATTGAAATTGATAAAGCCACACTACTTTAAAATGCAGATTTTCTGGTGGACAGGGAACTTGAACTTGGCCCTGTGTAGGGCTTCAGTCACATGTTCCTTGTTTTGCAATACGGTGAGAATGACCATGATGACTTGGCCAGTGTGAACTCTGGCTGCCATGCCCTGGAACCCCAAAAGACACACTGAACATTTGTGTGGAGCCTAGATTTGGAACAGCATGAGGCCAAAGACATGACAAGTTTAGTAAGAGGACAGTGGGCATCCCTCATACAGTGACATTCTTTGAAATTCTCCCAGGGTTTAGGTTACTCCTTTAGTCCTCCCCACAGTTCTGTGAGGGAAGCATTCTCCCTGCAGTATGGTTTCTGGGGTGATATTTATGCCTCCTGATACTTCAGAAATACTATTGGTCTTTGTCCTTTCTAATTGTTAGCATAGGTTGTGCCTGAGTATTTAAAATACAGTAGGGTCCCCTCTGTAATTTTGTTTTCTGCATTTTCAGTTATCTGTAGTGAACTGTGGCCTGAAAATATTAAATGGAGATTCCCCCAAATTAATAATTTATACGTTTCAAATCATACACCAGTCTGAGTAGTGTCATAAAGTTGTTCCACTCTGGTGAATCACACCTTTGTCCAGTGTATCCACATCATATATGCAATCCACTACTTAGTCACTTTTTACTCTTCTTGGTTATTAGATCAACTGTCTCAGATAGCAGTACTTATATTCAAATGACCCGTACATCATGATCTAATGCTGTATCATGAAACCTATGCCATTCACCCCACTTCATCTCACCTTGTAGGCAGTGTGTCATCTCACATTACCACAAGAAGAAAATGGGTGAATATGGAGCAATATTTTGCGAAAAAGACCACACTTAGATTACTTTTATAGCAGTATCTTGTTATAATAGTTCTATTTTTATTGTTAGTTATTATTGCTACTCTTTTTGTGCCTAATTTATAAATTAAATTTCATCACAGGTATGCATGTATATAAGAACATGATATACATAGGATTTGGTACTATCTACATTTTAATACATCTGCTGGGGAACTTGGAAAATATATCCCTGTGGATAAGGGGGGAAACAGTATATTAAAATGCACACTTTTTTTTTTTTTTTTTTGGTACTGGGAAGTGAACTCAGGTGTACTTGACCACTGAGACACATCTCCAGTCCTATTTTATAACTTATTTAGAGACAGGGCCTTACTGAGTTGCTTAGCGCCTTGCTGTTGCAGAGGCTGACTTTGAACTCCTGATCCTCCTGCCTCAGCCTCACAGCTGCTGGGATTACAGGCGTGCACCACCGCGCGGGGCTCACACATTATATTTTAAATTAATTTGATGTCCTCTAATTGTTAGGTTATTATATTAATATTTTTGAAATTACATGTGGAAACTTATAAATTTAATTTCATTAAATTAAAATGGGGGGACTGGGTTGTGGCTCAGTGGTAGAGCACTTGCCTAGCACAAGTGAGGCACTGGGTTCGATCCTCACCACATAAAAATAAATAAAATATGTTCCATCTATACTAAAAATATTTTTTTAAAAATTAAAATGGCTGCTGTAAAATATTTGCTGAGAAGGAGTTGGAATATTGACATTTTTGCTGTCGACTTTTGTCTTTCCTGCAAATCCAATCACACCTGAGAGAGGAATGAATAATTATGGATGGATGTCTTTTAAGAATAGCAACGGTGGAGAGAGATGGATGATTCTAGCTATCAGAGAAGGCAAGTGGAATAGGTCCGATAGTTCAAGATTCGGGTCTGTATCAGAAACACTGGCCTATTCTCTTCCTCCCCTCCTCCAGTCAGACTAAAATTTCCTGGAGAAACGGAATACTTGGTCCAGAGAGGGTGACAAGTAACAATCATGAGTCCGGCGGGTCACATTCCACTTTTTGGGCGGGTCCTTTGGCCGGGCGGGCTTCGAGCAGCAGGGGGCGCTGTGTCAGGAGCCGCGCCAGGCGCGCTGGGCCCTCTAGCGTGAGGAGACCTTTCCTCTCCTCCTCGGCTTCCGGCGCGGCTCCCGGGCGCTGTCGGCGCGCTCAGTCATGGACCGTAACCCCTCACCGCCGCCTCCCAGTCGGGACGAGAAGGAGCATGAGGAGACTGCTGGAGGGGACTGCATTGGGAGCACGGTCTACAGCAAACACTGGCTCTTTGGCGTCCTCAGCGGGCTCATCCAGGTGTGGAAATCGCGCTCGCTGGGGCTGCCCCTCAGGTGGTTCGGCCCGGTAGCTGGCAGCCCCTCGGGCTCCGGGAGCCACCAAATCCCCCGACGACCCCTTCCCAAGCGTGCGCTCGGCAAATGGCGCCTCACAACCTCAGCTGACCCGCAAACTGCCTGGGGCCACTTTGGTGCGCCTTTCGCCAAGAAATGTTTGGTGTCAGGGATGTCGGGACGTTTGCACTTACCGTAATTTTTCAAGTTCTCCAAAGATATAGAACTATGCTCCCCAGCCCCATCGTCATTTCTGAAGCCCAAGCCTTAAAATTTATATGATTCATGGACTTTTTTTGTAGAATAAATGGATGTCAAAGATGTAGCCTCATCATCTACTAACTGTATTTCTTTGGGCAAGTCACCTAACCACCAAGAACTTTGATTTCTCAGGCAATTTCTATAAAATAGGATGATAATATCTATAATATCATATATAGAGTTTTTATATAGGTTAAGTGACATAATGATCATAGAGTGCCCACCATGGTTTTTGGCTTATAGGAGACTCAGTAAATGTAAGGTTTTTTTCCTCTCCGCATCTCAACTAGATTCCCCTCTTCCAATTTGTGTCCTTTCCTGTCTTTTTTCTACACAGCTTCCAGAATAATCTTCCTTAAGACACACACAAAAAAAGTTGTTGCTACTCCTCTTAGTTCTTGTTTGACTGTTGAAGCAAAATGCATATTTCTTAGCTTGGAATCCAGAGTTTTTTGCAGCCTCTCCAGGCTTCTCTGCTCATGGTACAGTGTGTTCCATCAACAGCAAACTGTACACCATTCCCCAAATGCTAGGCACTTTCTTAACTCTGATTCTTATCTCTGAATGCTCTTATCTTTTTCACCTGACAAACTCCTATTTTCCCTCCAAGATTTAGCTAAAATATCACCTCCTAAAAGGAGTGACTCCCAGCTTCTCTCAGGAATAGGTAATTGGTCCATCATAGGTCCTACTCCAACTCTTAGTTCATAATTCAGTTGAGTCATAAAATTTTTGTGACTATCAATTTACATGTCTTATCCCCACTAATCCTAAAATGCATGAAAGCAGGGATTACATCTTATTTATCCCAGTTTTCTAGCAACAGTATTTGATCCATAAGTGTTGAGTGAATAGAACTACCCAAGGCATTAATTTTTAAAACAAGATGTTTGTGAGAGAAGATACTTTGAGGAGAGTCTCTGGACTTTTAAGTGGTTGTGGGATATATTAGTTACGAAGTACTATAGAAAATTTTTATTTTTTTCTTTTCTTTTGAAGATTGTTAGACCTCAAAACACCAAATCTGGCTCAGATGATGAGGAGCAGCAGATGGAGCTTGATGAAGAAATGGAGAATGAAATTTGCAGAGTATGGGATATGTCAATGGATGAGGTATGAGGTTAGAGATGAAACATTGAAATTTCAGACTCTTAGGTGAGAAGGTGGTGAGTGGATTTTTAGAATAGGTTCAGTCCTTCACTCTCTGAGCAAAGGCTTTCTTGAGTGTCTGTAGTTACTTGAATATATGGTTCAAGGAATAGTCCCAGAAGCTATGAATGCTAAAAATTTGTCTCTGAAAGTATGTGCAATTATCCTGTGAATATCACAGAATGTACTTAAACCCACTAAGATACCTATGATATCACTAGACAATTAATTTTATGCGACCATCATCCTATAGGTAGTCTGTCACTGACTGAAACATCATTGTGTGGCATATGACTCTTTAACAATTCACATCCCCACCTTCCATAGTTAACTAATTTAGTTATTGCATTTCACATTCTTTGGCAGGATTTGGCCTTTTTGGGATCACATGTCCACTCCAGGTTTGTGTAGTGTGCCCCTGTTTGGCATTGTAGACTAAGCAAACTCACTCTTATAATTATATTGTGATCAGAATTTTTTCTACTGAGAATTTTGAAAATACAAATTCTGATTTTTTAAAAAATGTTTTTTGTTATAGATGGACACAATACCTTTATTTAATTTACTTATTTTTTATGTGGTGCTGAGGATTGAACCCAGTGCCTCACACATGCTAGGCAAGTGCTCTACCACTTAGCTACAACCCCAACCCCCAAGTTCTGATTTTTTAATATGACCCAATAGCTGTTCTCACCTGTTTCCTTTATTGTGTCTTAAGCCTTGGAGGATAGGAATTAGGATTTTTCCTTTAACATTAGCTTCTGACAAAATTAGCAAGTGTGTTTGACTAAGTTATTGAGAATTCCTGATATGTAAATATAATCAGGGCAGAATAAAAGGAGGACAATTCTCCAGAGTATCACAGTGAGTTTAGATTTGTTTATGGAATTATTCCATTGTCTTGAGACCAAATACCACAAAAACTTTCTAACCTTGCTTTTATCTGTTGCCACAGTTCCTCACCTAACCTTGTAACTTGTGGGTTTTTTTCTCTCTTGTGTCCTAATGGTAGTATATATGAAATTAAATTTTTTTATAGTTGCCTTAGCTATGGAGTTTAAAGAAGAATATTCAGCATCCAAGTTAACATTCATTTTTGTTTATAGGATGTGGCTTTATTTCTCCAAGAATTTAAGGCTCCTGACATATTTATGGGAGTACTGGCCAGATCCAAGTGTCCTCGATTAAGAGTAAGTATACATTTCATTTTTTTCACTTTGATTTTCTTACTGTCTATAAACCAATAATATCAGTCTGTAAATGTTTATTGAACATTACTAGGTAATGTACTACTTAAAATTATTAGAGCCATAGAATTTTAGATTTGGACTGGATTAGGGAGATCAATAGTTTCATTTAACAATTGTAGAAACTAGATAGATATAACTATGTTATGCTGCTAATTTGTGACAAACAGAGAACAGTTCCTGGACCTCCTGTTTCTCAGTTCATTGTTCTTTTTCACTCAAAAGCTTCCATTGCTTAAGAGCCATTCTAAACTTAGCCTATTGCTTAAGACTTCCACAATCTGAACCTGAATCATATTTCTAGCATAAAATCTACCTTCCAGTTCAAAGCCAGCCTCAGCAAAAGTGAGGTGCCAAGCAACACAGTGAGACCCTATTTCTAAATAAAATACAAAATAGGGCTGGGGGTGTGGCTCAGCGGTCAAGTCCCTCTAAGTTCAATTCCTGGCACACACCCCCCCCCCCAAAAAAAAAATCTACTGTCTAGATGGTCCTAATTTGGATAGGTCTGTCTGCATTCCATCTCACCAGCTTATTGTGATGGCCATCTCTTTGTGTGCCCTCTGTCTCCTCTCGGTGTTCATATCAGTTACTCAAAGTAGTTTTTTTTTTCTTCCATGCCTTTCCAAATAAGTAAGATCTTAGTAGTTATTGTTGATAGTAAATTCCTAAGAATAATAGATAAAAACTAAATGAGAGGTCTTTATTTATGTAATGTTAAATGTCCTGTGCTTTATTGCCATTTAAGTTGCCATGTGCTATCCATATGATGGATGTATTTGTTGAATAATTTAATTATAAATAATTATTATTTACAGAGCATTTGGTTTTACTACTCCTATGAGGCATACTTTATAGACAACTGTGTCTCGGGTTAAGATGTGTCCAAGGCCACAAAACTAATTAAGAATGAAGTTGGGATTTGAATCTAGGCCTGACTCCAGTATAACACATTACTGAATTGCTTTTCTTTCTTTGAGATTTCAAAGAATGGAATTCTGTAGAATATTTTTATGAATTGAATGTTGAATTAAAATTTTTATCTTATAAAATGCTCTACCTGAATTGGGTACTGATGAACCAGTATTTCCTTGGATCCTTATACTAATAGAAGAATTTGACAATTTTGTGTTATTTCTCTTAATTTTTCTATCTTAAATATATTGACTCATAATTATTTAAGAAATAAACATGTCAGAAATGGCACCTTTCAGGAATTAGTCATATTGTTGAATGTGTCTTCTAGCCACAGCCTACTACAGCAGTAATTGTCTTGAGACCAAATACCACAGGTTCTCAAACTTTAGCACGTTCTCAAACTGGTGCAACATTCCTAACTTTCTTCAATCCCAGATCACTGATTGCTGAGCTTACCTCCCGAGTTTCTGATCGACTTTGTTAGGGTTCATATATACTTCCAAGTGACACTAGTGCTCTACAGCAGAATCATAGGTTGAGAAGCTTTGTTGAAGGAATTTTTAAAAATCCTGTCATTCAGGCTGTATCTCCATGCATGCTGCACTCAACAACTTTTTTTTTTTTTTTTAATACCAAGGATTGAACTCAGGGGCACTCAATCACTGAGCCACATCCCCAGCCCTGTTTTTTGTATTTTGTTTAGAGACAGGGTCTCACTGAGTTGCTTAGTACCTCACCCTTGCTGAGACTGGCTTTGAATTTGTGATCCTCCTGCCTCAGCCTCTGGAGCTGCTGGGATTACAGGTGCATGCAACCGCACCCAGCCACTCAGCAGCAACTTTTGACATTCCCTAGGTTATTCTGATGAGTGGCCAGCACTATGGTACTTGGTGTTTGATTGGAAGTTCTGTCATTAGTTTATAAGGGAAGTATGTGTTTTTTTCTGTCCCTACTCTCTTTTAATCTTTTCTTGACATTTGACTACCCACATTTTATTGAAACACTCCATCTCTGAAGCTTCTGTGACACTTGCCCTCTCTGGTCTCTGACCTCTTCAGTCACTTTCTTTTTTTTTTTTGAGAAATTTTTTAATATTTATTTTTTAGTTTTCGGTGGACACAACATCTTTGTTTGTGTGAGATCCCGAGGATCAAACCCGGGCCGCACGCATGCCAGGCGAGCTTGCTACCACTTGAGCCACATCCCCAGCCCTTTTCTGTCACTTTCATTGGCTGCTTTCTTTCTGTACCCTGGGTATGAACTCTTTCTTAGATCCAGAACCCAGTCTTTTGTTTTTTTAATATTCGTTTCCTCATTTTACACTTGTATATTACAGCTCTGTATTGTGGGTTCAAAAAACCTGACTTCCATCTGGTAACTGGTGTCACATCTCTAACTTTCTTCAGGCATTTTCTACTTGCATGCTGCATTTTCTAATCCCAGATTTCATATGTTCTAACTCAGTGATTATCACATTTACCTGATCATAAAAACCACCTGGTGTGCTTGGTAAACATTAACTTCTGAGGCTCTGTGCTAGACATTCAGATTCAGTTGATCTAGATGGGACTTGGAAGTCAGTATTGTTAACAAACCCCCTGAGCAAATCTCATGTTCTAGCAAGTATACTGTGCTGCATGAACTCATTGTGTCCTTTTATACAATTTTCTTTTTTCAGTTTTTCTGTTAATGGAATCAATCTCTGGGGAAATGAAGCAACTTGAAATCTATGAGTCATGTTCAACTGCTTTCTCCTTTACTTTCCAATAGATTTTTTTGCTTTCACTCTGAGAGTCTTCCTTATCTTCATCTTTTTCCATGCCTGCATCACTATCCTCATCCATCACAGCCCTAATCTTTTGCATCTTGACTACTGAGGTGTGCAGGAAGAAATACTGGTTGAATGTTGCTTGACTTTCCCTATCTGAAGGATGGGAATAATAGTAATACCTACCTCATAAATTATATGAAATAACATGTAATGGCTGGTCTTAATAAGTGCTAATAAATAGGGTTTTTTTTTTTTTTTTGTATATGTCTTTTTATCTCAGAACCATTGTGACCTGTGAAATTTGCTTTGGCAGGAAATCTGTGTGGGGATTTTAGGTAATATGGCCTGTTTCCAAGAGATATGTGTGTCCATCAGCAGTGATAAAAATCTTGGGTAAGTCTTATCATAATAATTATATTTTAAAAATGGATTCATATTTTATATCCCTAAGGAAATGAGAGATGAGAAAATGTGAAAGATAATGTTGTTGATGAACATGCTGCAGGAACTTCATTGCATGTTAATGGTAGCTAAGGACTTCCACACTTGCATATGGGCATGATTCAGGAGTTAAGCCAGTTTATTCTTTATGAATATCAAAGGGACCTGAGTGCAGATGTAAGCAGGCCAGAAGAAGGATCCATGAGGTCAAACTTGGAGATGGGGGCAGTGAATCAGAATCTAAAACAATGTAGGCATAGGGAATGCAAGGCCTCCAGAGATCCAGAGTTTAGGAAACTAGATTTGTTAAACAGTGTCACTCTGAGAGCTTTCACTTAGATCAGGGAGCAGAACTTACCAACAGACTAGAAGATAAAAGATTGACTCTGTGATTAAAGGCTTTCGTATTTCTGCTTGGAGGCTAGTTCTCTTCTATAGCCAGGAAAGTTTTCGGCAGAAGGTTTTTCAATGGGGGAAACCTTGGTGAAATTACATGCTAAATTTGATGAATGTATTCATTTTCTCAATATAGGGTACATGGCTGTTATTCAGGATCTAAAAGAAATTTGTATCCAAAATGGCTAAGGAGACTGTTCTAGACAGTTTTTGACAGAGATGGGGTTATGTAAGTTTATCATAGGATGCAAGTACCTGAGTCTCTGGAAAAAGTTGGTTTTTGTCTTCGAGGTGTGGAGAGATTTAAGATACTAGTTCAAAGTATTTATTTCTCACTAATTTATAATCATTCATGGAGTAGATGTCTCAGGATTGCATTTCGTCTCTAGCATTCCCTATCAAAAATCTGATAATGAAAAATGTTAACATGTCTTTTAAATTCAATTAATGTTTATCTTAAAATTAGTATAGAACAGTTTATATTGCTAAAGGGATATGAATTTGTTCAGTTTGAGAACATATGACCAAGGCTGGTGCAGTGGCACTCACCTGTAATCCCAGTGACTTGGGAAGCGAAGGCAAGAGGATCACAAGTTCAAAGCCAGCCTCAGCAACTTAATGAGGCCCTCTGTACCTTAGCAAGACCTTGCTTTAAAATAAAAAATAGGGCTAGGGATGTGGATCAGTGGTTAAGTACCCCTGGGCTTAATCCCCAGTACCAGAAAAGAAAAAGAACAATTGAGTACTTCTAGTCAGATTGGAAGATATGCATATGCTATGACACAAGAATGCCACTCATAGGTATGTAGTAAGAAAAACTGCACATGTACATTAGGATACACATATACTATCATTATTATTATCATCTTTTGGAGCTAGGATTGAATCCAGGGCCTCATGAATGTTAGGCAGGTGTTCTGCTATTGAGCTATACCCCCAACTCCTTTACACAAACATTATTTCAGAAGTATTGTTTGAAATAACCCCAAATTGAAATAGACTCAGTGTCCATCAGCAGTAGTCTGGAAAAATAAGTTACGATATATTCATACAACTGAATGCTCTGCAGCAGTGACTTAAAGGAACAGCTGCCAACTCTGCTGGAAACAAGCAGGTATGCTTTTCCCTTTTTGTGGGTTCCATGATTTCCTACACATGATTTTGAGCAAAACTTGGACTTAAGAATATGTACATGTGCATTGAAGTGTCCTACTGTACCTTGTAAGTATGTACAATTATGTGTCAAAGACAAATAGATGGATAGATGAAGTTTTTTAAGGAAAAAAATATATAATTTCTTTCATATAAAGTTCAAAAGCAAAACTAAAAACTATAAAACAATAAAACTGTAGAACAGGAATTGGTTGCTGGAAAAATTGGTATTTCCTTTTCTAGATGGGAAAGAGAACTGATTCAGAATAAGATACATAGGGGTCATGGATATGCACCATTCTTCTCTTTCTTGGAAACATGAACATTTTAGCATGTGTGAGATGCTGGGTTCGATTCTTAGCACCACACATAAATAAAATAAATAAATAAAGGCCCATCAACTACTAAAAAAATATTTTAAAAAATTAATAACTTAAAAATAAACATGAACATTTCCTTTATAATTCATTGACTGTAGATTTGTATTTTAATAGCCTTTCTGCATATATGCTTTATTTCATAGTAAAAATGTTTAAAAAATTAAATGAAAATTCTGATGTTTGAAATGAGAGATGTGAAGCATATGGACTTTTGTTTTGTAGGCAAGTGTTATTGCACTGTTTGTATGATTCAGACCCGCCTACTCTGCTGGAAACAAGCAGGTATGCTTTTCTTTTTTGTGGGTTCCATGAAATCACCCATAAGGGAATCTAGGAAAATAGAGTTAATTCTTGATTCTTAAATTTCCTATACTGTTTTTGGAAGATAGACATTAAGTTGACATTTATCATGTAGGTTGTTGCTTACTTGCCTTTCCCAGACAGAAGTGGCCAGTGTCTGGGTTGAAAGGATACGAGAACAACCAGCTATTTATGATAGCATTTGTTTCATCATGTCAAGCTCAACAAATGGTAAGTCACCATGTAATCTAGAAAAAATGTTTTAGAATACATTTAATTATTAGGAAAACATGTTACTATTTCTGGAAGTCATGTTTTTAAAAAGGCTAAATGCAAGAAAAAGTTTTTTGATTTAAGGAGTAAAATTGCTTCTGAAACTCCCAGGACACTGATAAATTTTCTGCTTACTGAAGGAAGATAATCATTTTAAGCATAAGAGATAAACAGATCACCCTTAGAATAAGTACTGTCTTGGCAAGATATGTCTTTTGGAATAGCTTTACGAATTTTGCTTAACCTTATTGCTTTAAACATTAAAAAAATTTTTTTAATTGTTGATGGACCTTTATTTAATTAATTTATTTATATGCAGTGCAGAGAATCGAACTCAGTGCCTCACACTTGCTAGGCAAGCGCTCTAAGCTACAACTCCAGCCCTGCAACATTCTCATTTTTATTTCAATACTTGTTTTATTTTCTTCAGTTGACTTGCTGGTGAAAGTGGGGGAGGTTGTGGACAAGCTCTTTGATTTGGATGAGAAACTAATGTTGGAATGGATTAGAAATGGGGTTGCTCAGCCTTTGGGCCAACTCCAGGAAGATTCTGAAGAGCAGCCAGTATTTAGGATTGTGCCCTGTGTACTTGAAGCTGCCAAACAATTACGGTAAGTGAGCTTTTTTGTGCAAAATGTTCTGGAAAAGCCAACTGCTAGAAGTAGCCTTAGATATAGAAGTCTTAGTTTCTTTTTGATAGGATGAAGTGTACAGATAGTCTTCGTTAGGTTTGATTCCCTACCAATATTTGGGGTGGCAGAATATTTATTCTTTGCAAGAATCATAATGGTTCAAAATACTTGTTTTAATATCATCTAGTTATAGGTGATTGTTGAGCAATAATTGTGGTTACTTTCCTAACTTCACCAGCAATTTTATGTAATTTAGATCAAAGAGAAAAGGTTTTCTTGTGTTTCATTTTACATTGAACATTTAACAACTTCCATTATTGTTTTTTTGTTTTTTTTTTTTATTGGTTGTTCAAAACATTTCCATTAATGTTATCAACATTTGTTTTCTTGTTCCTTGCCCCTTTTGTAGGTACACCAATCTGGAAAGGTGATTGATTTGGGCAGTTTGTTGTCTTGCCATGAGAAATTATTAGTTCTTACATGTCACTGAAACTATTTACTATTAGTCACTAGAATAATTGATATTTTATATAAGCAGCTATTAATCTGCTTAGTGGTTACTATTGTATTCTTAGTGCTCTTAGGCCACATGAAAAGCTATTAATTTTATGTCCTTTACTAAGTGAAGATTAAACTTTTCATTCTTCCTCCAAATCTGCTTCTTTAGTATTTTCAATCAGTAAATGATGCAGTTATTATCCTCTTTGAATATGTTGAAGAAATAGTGAAGCTACTGACTCTTCCTACCCCACTCTTTTTCTACAACCAGTCAACTTTCAAGTCATGGTCCTGACTTTTTCCGGGATCCCATTTGTGCCAGCCAGGCTCTGTGTCTCTCACCTGGACAACTGCCACATTCTGTTACCTGTTTTTCCTGGTTTTAGGGATTGCTTCTTCCCAGACTGATCTTTTTATAGTACTGGGGATTGGCCCCAGGGGCGCTTAACCACTGAGCCACATCCCCAACCCTCTTTTTTATTTTTTATCTAGAGACTCAGTCTTGCTGAGTTGCTTAGGATCTTGCTTAGTCGCTGAGGCTGGCTTTGACCTCACGATCCTCCTTCCTCAGCGTCCTAAGCCACTGGTATTATAGGTGTGTGCCACTGTACCTAGCTGTCCAAGACTAGTCTTTAAAGCTGTCTTTGCAAATTACTCATTTATCATCTCATTGCCATTCTTCAAACTTTTCAGTTGCCCTTCTTAGGATAAGGTCCATATTTTTAAAAAAACATGGTGTGTGGCCCTGAAAAATGCCTTTCTGTTTTGGTTCCTTGTATTCTGTGTTGCCATGTGAAATTTTCTTCAATTCTTCAAACTGAACAAAGTTTTCCTGACTCCGAGCCTTTGCATAGTATGTCTCCTCTTACCTCAAACATATTAACACCCTTTCAGGTTTCTGTGTAAACGTCATTTCTCTTAAGATACCTTCCTGACCCTCCAGACTAAATGAAATATACATGATTTGTGTTCTCTTGGCACCTGGGATTTCTTCTAGTGCTAAATTTATTTCACTTTATTATAATTACTGCTTTAATTTTCTTCCTGCCTATTAAACAATAAATTTTAAGAATGTAGTGGTAACATCTTAAACATCTCTGTCTTCCTAGCCCCTAACATAGTGCCTGAAGATTTTAGGTACATAAATAAACATTTGCTGAACTATTGTTTTAATTGTTCACTATCTTTTCATTTTATTGTTTTGTTGAAGAACCAACACTTTTAATTTCTGAGACAACAAATTGTTTATAAGAATTGTGCTTTAAGGGTTTTATTGTACTCGGCTATGGAACTAGGATAACCTTGTGAAGTTTTAAGAACATTGTCAATACTTAGTGCAATGGACCTTACTTTATAATAGTTATAATATTATAATACTATAATAGTTTCAGTTATTTCCAGGTATAGTGATTCACACCCGTAATCCCAGAGACTCAGGAGACTGAGACAGGAGGATTGTGCATTCTAGGCCAGCCTCAGCAATTTAGCAAGATCCTCAACAACTTATCGAGACCCTGTCTCAAAATAAAAAGGGCTGGATTATAGCTCAGTGGTAAAGCACTGCTGGGTTCAATCCTTAGTAAGAAAAAAAGATGTCTCAGTTATTTTTTTGTTTTGATTATTTGAAAAGAAAACAGTGATGGAAACATTGTCTAGCAGGTCTGTGCATTGTTGTTTTTGTGGGACATAGCCAAAAGAATTTTACCTCTTTTCCTTTGTGTGATTATATTACATATTTGCTTGTTTACTCTTTCCCCATTATAATATAAGTTCTAATGAGCATTTAAAAACTGAGGATAAAATAGGAAACTGTTTGTCCTCAGCTCCTAGGGCAATGGCTAAAACAGTGTAATAAATATTTGTAGAATGAATGAATAGATAAAATTCCCTAGACAATAAAGTTATTGATGCACTGCTTTTTGCTTTTTGTATTTAGTTCTGAAAACCCAGAAGGGCTTGATGTTTACATGCATATCTTACAGTTGCTTACCACAGTGGATGATGGAATTCAAGCAATTGGTAAGATGGTTTATTGGGATGCATTAGAGCTACTAATTTAGTAGTTTCTTTATTTTTAAATTACTACTTTGTTTATATTCTTTATTAAGTACAGTGTCCTGATACTGGAAAAGACACTTGGACTTTACTTTTTGACCTGGTCTGCCACGAATTCTGCCAGTCTGATGACCCACCCATCATATTGCAAGAACAGAAAACAGTGCTAGCCTCTATTTTTTCAGTGTTGTCTGCCATCTATGCTTCACAGGCTGACCAAGAACATCTAAAGACAGAAAAAGGCAGGTATTGCGTCATTCACTAAATTAAATTGCAACCTGTTATATTTTTAAAGACCTGGCCTGTGTGTGTTCTTCATTTGATTTCTTTCTCCCATTTATCCCCATTAAAAATATATGTATATTTTTGTTCCTTTAAATGCAAGTCAAGAATCTGTCTTAACATATTTGTCCAAAAAAATTGCCATTTATTTAGGTGGGGAAGATTGGTTTTAAACATGTTAAGTTTTAGATGTTCAAGTGCAGACGTTGATTTGACAATTTAAAGTCTGAAGCTGAGGAGAGAGGCTGAGTTAGGAATCTAAATGTTGGAGTTTAGTTGTTAGTTGTTATGTTGCTTATATCTTCTATAACCTTACTTATTTCTTTTGACTTGATGTGAAATGAGAGAAAAACTAATCTTGCTACAAATATGCTTAGCTTTTTTTATCATATGTAGTTTCCTTAATGAGTGTTGATGTTCTTAATCTTTCCTTGAAAATTATAGAGAAAGTTTATCATACTAGAAACTTTTTTTTTTTTTTTTTAAGTTGGTGTAGCTCAGTTATCCAGAATAGGGGATGTCATTGTGGCATATTCACACATACATGAAATCGCAATTTGATTGATTTTACTCCCCAGTACTGCCCCTACCTTTCTTTTTCTCTTCCCATCTTCTCCCTCTACCCTAATGGTCACCCTCTACTTTCATGGCATCCTTTTCGCCCCCCTTAACTTTCATATATGAGGAAAAACATAACAATACTTTTATGAATCTGACTTACTTCACTCAAAATTGTGGCCTCCATTTCCATTAATTTTCCTGCAAATGACATAATTTTGTTCTTTATGGCTGAACAGAAGTTCTTTGGGTTTATATACCACATTTTCTTCCATTCATCTGTTGGTGGACACCTAGGGTGATTCCATAACTTGGCTGTTGTGTTGTGCTGTTATAAACATAGGTATATGTGTATCTAAGTATGCTTACTTTCATTCTTTTGGATAAATACTAAGGAATGGTATAACTGGATCATATAGTAGTTAAATATTTTTATCTTTTTAAGGAACCTCCACACTAATTTCCATAGTTACTATGCTAATTTATATTCCCACCAACAGTGTATAAGAGTTTCTTTTAATCCTAGTTAGCATCTATTATTATTTGTATTCTTGAAGATTGCCTTTCTGACTAGAGTGAGATGGAATCTTAGTGTAGTTTTAATTTACATTTCGTTGACAACTGAAGATGTTGAGCCTTTTTTTTTATTATAGTTGTTAGCCATATTGTACTTCTTTTGAGAAATGTCTGTTTAGTTCATTTGCCATTTATTGATTGGGTTGTTCATTTGAGTTCTTTGCATATTCTGGGTATTAAATCCTATGTTAGATGATTAGCTAGCAAAAATTCTCCCATTTTGTGGGTTGTTTCTTCATTGTTAATTGTTTCCTTTTGTTCTATCGAGGCTTTTAGGTTTGATACCATTCTATTTATTCTTTCTCTTATTTCCTGAGCTATGGGAATCCTATTCAAGAAGTCTTTGCCTGTGCCTACATGTTGAAGTGCTCCCTTTATTTTTTCTTCTAATAGTTTCAGTTTCTGGCCTTAAACGTGGGTCTTGGTTCCATTTTTTTCCCCCCGGATACCGGGGATTGAACTCGGGGGCACTCAACCACTGAGCAACATCCCCAGCCCTTTTTGTATTTTATTTAGAGGCAGGATCTCACTGAGTTGCTTAGTACTTCACTTTTTGCTGAGACTGACATTGAACTCCCTCCATCTCCCAAGCTGCTGGGATTATAGGTGTGTGTCACTGTGCCCAGCTTGGATCAATTTTGAGTTGACATTTGTATAGGGTAAAAGATAAGGATCTAATTTTATTCTTCTATATATGAATGTCCTGTTTTTTATAGCACCACTTATGAAAGAGGGTGTCTTCACCAACATGTTTTTGACATCTTTTTCAAGAATCAGATGGTTGTGGGTGGGGTTTGGCCTCTGTGGTCACTGGGAATGTTGAATCCCTCAGCAGCTTTTGCAGAGCACTGATATCTATGGACACTGACACAGACTTCATTTAAAGAACTCCAATTAATGGCAAAAACATGAATCAGTTTGTATTGTGGCATTCAAATCCTAGCACTTTGGGAAAGCAAGTAGCAAGGTTTTGAAAACCATGGTTCACCATCATTATGCATTCAGAAGTTGAGTAAGATAACCACATCAAGAATTAGGACATCTTGGGACTGGGGTTGTGGCTCAGTGGTAAGGTGCTTGCCTAGCCCATGCAGCCCTGGGTTCGATCCTCAGCACCACATAAAAATAAATAAAATAAAGGTATTGTGTCCAACTACAACTAAAAAAAAAGAATTAGGACCTCTTCAAATGCTTCAAGTATTATCTGCATTAAAGCTGTCCATTGAACTCTCATAAAAGTAGAAGCCGAAAGGGACCTTTTCCATTAATACATTTTAAAAAATATCACTTCCTCTGACTTCAGTTTTCTTGGCCATTAGGGTCTTTCATATTATCTGTTCCATTACACAAGAACCAACAAAATATTGCATATATATATATGTATATATTTTTTTTCATATTCTGTGGCCATAAATTTTTATTGATAGAGGAGCATGAGTTTGGCTTGGTAAGTTTGGAATTAGGTCTATTATTGTAGCCTACAAAAAGTTGAATCAATAATGTAAAAATAAGGAGTAAATGTTAAAAATATGTGAGGTTAATAGAGCATGTGTTTTGCATGGGGCAAGGCCCTAGTTGAATTTCCTGCATCAAAAAAAGCAACCCCCCCACCCCATGTTTATTTGACTTTATTTTATTATGTGTAAAGTGAACCTGTTATTTTCCTCACCTACCTCACAGGGTTGTTGCCAGGTTCAAATGAAATAATGTATGCAAAAAAGACAATAAAATGTGCAATACAGATAGGGACATGTATTATTACATAGTTGCAAATCATCCTCTCTGCTTTTTAGCCTGGGAAGGTCTGTGCTTGAAACACACGTTGGAAAGCATGTACCATGTCCAAACTGGATACAGGGAAATAAGGCCATAGTTTTTGGGTTTTTTCCCCTCTGAGTACTTAGAATACTATCATGGGCTAATTCTAAGAAGGAGGAAGACAATAAATTTCTTCAAATTATAAATTGGAATTGGTAATGTTCTAGAGTTATTAAGGGTAGTGACATTAGTGGTTTACAATATCTTTTTACCGAGTTTTTCTTTTTTAATTAAAGAACAGAGCAGAATATTTTACAATGTATCCCACATAGGAAGAGTTAATATCATCTTAGTTATATCTGTTTAAATGTGTGGCAGTTGGTGGTTAAATAAAATGCATTTTTTTTCCTTGTGGGGGGAAAAAAAGAATTAACCATGTGGTTTGGTTTCTGTATCTTCTGTTCCATTCCTCTGACTTTTTTAATGCCATGGTTTTTTTTTTGTTTTGTTTTTTGGTTTTTTTGTTATTGTGCTCCGTAGGATAATTTGAAATCAGTTATTGTGTTGCCTCCAGCATTGCTGTTTTTTTGCTCTGGATTGCTTTGGCTATTCTGGATTTTTTGTTCTTTCTAGTTCTGTGAAGACTATCACTGGTATTTTGATGAGTATTGCATTGAATTTGTAGATCACTTTTAGAAATATGCTCATTTTAACAATATTAATTCTGCCTATCCGTGAACATGGAAGATCTTTCCATTTTCTAGTGTGTTTCTCAATTTCTTTCTTCAGTGTTTTATAATGTTCATTGTAGATGTCTATCTTTCACCTCTTTGGTTAGGCTTACTCATAAATATATTTTTTTTCTTTTTTTTAAGCTATTGTGCATGAAGTTTTCCTGATTTTTGTCGTATGGAAAAACTGTTGATTTTTGTAGGAACCTCTTTTGTGCTGTTAATAGGACTAGATATTTTTTGCTGCAGCCACCCCAAAACTGTGTAAAATTTTATGATCGGTGAAGAAAGTATAAAGATGTTCCTTTAACTCCAAGCCGCTGATTAAAATCTTCTCCTTGTCTTGTCCCAGCCTTGAATAGTGGTTTTGCAGAGATAGGGCTTGGTATAAATTGATGTGACCTACAGGTAAATAATGGAATAAGAATTGGGCTTTTGAGTTGGTGATAATATAAGGAAGTAGGAGTAGATCTAAGGGAACTATAATAAAGCAGCCAGGTAGAGAGGTGTTCTGAAGACACTGAATTGAGTAATAAAAGATAAGATTTCCCTGGTTGCTAAGTTTTTAAAAAGTCACTTCCATATACTGTACATAAATGACTTAAGTTTGGATAGGAAATTAGATTTTTTTCAAATTAGTATACTTGATATATACTTGATATTTCAGTGCTGTAGAAAACTTTCTTTTTTTCCCCCCAGTTATAATTATTAAGCAGAAATGGTGAAGTTAGAATCAGTGTTTGAATCTACATGAGATCTCTTAGCATGTTGATGGTACAATATATATTTTGAATATGAGCTTTATTTTTTATTTATTTATTTATTTTTTTAATGTGGTGCTAGGATTGAACCCAGTGCTTCACACTTGTGAGGCAAGTGCTTTACCACTGAGCTAGAACTCCAGCCCCTGAATATAAGCTTTATTTTTATATTCAGTTTTTTTTGTATTCTAATTAAAATGACTATTCAGTCTTTAAAAATTAGACTGAATTTTTCTGCTTAATTTAATAAAATTTAGCATTTAAGAGCTTTGTCTAAGATTTTTATGATGTTAAAACTTAAACTTAATATTCTTTTGTCACTGTGTCCTCAAAGACCCTGCGTTGTAGGGCTCTTTCCTATCTCTCTAACCTTTTTCTGTGCTACTCTTCCCTTGCTCACTAGCCCAGAGTCATACTTGCTTCCATTTTGCTTTTCAGACTTTCCCTGATATTTTCTTTTTGGGGTCTTTGCTCTGTTCCTCTGAGATATTTTGCTGGGCTTTCTGCATTGCTAACATTTCTTATCCTTTAGTTCTCAGTATCAACTCTTCAGAGAAGTTCCCCTGTTGAGCTGCTTTATTATATTTCCCTTTTGTTTCCTTCATAGAATTTACCAAAATCTGAAATGATCTATTTTATTTATTTACTTATGTGAAGGTATGTAGACATAAGCCTCTTGAAGGCTGATGCCTTAGCAATCTTATTTACTACTGTATCTGTAGTTCAGTATGAATGTATGACTTAATGAGTAAAAAAAACCAAACTGGCTAATTTCATGTCTCTTTATTTGTTTGTACAGTAGATCTTCCTCTGATTGACAGCCTAATTCGGGTGTTACAAAATATGGAAGATTGTCAGAAGAAACTAGAGAACTCTGCAGAGTCTAACCAAGAAGAAAATAAAAAGTCTGATCCAACCCAATATGACTTCCACTTGAAAATCTTAAAGGATATTTCATGTGAATTTCTTTCTAATATTTTTCAGGCATTAACAAAGGTAGGAAAGAAGTATTCATGGTTTTTTGTTCTTGTTTTTATTTTTGGTACCAGGGATCGACCCCAGGGGTGCTTAACCACTGAGCCACATCCCCAGCCCTTTTTTATATTTTATTAGAGACAGGGTCTCACTGAGTTGTTTAGGGCCTCACTAAGTTGCTGAGGCTGACTTTGACCTTGTGATACTCCTGCCTCAGCATCTTGAGCCACCGGGATTACAGGCATGCACCACTGTGCCTGGCTTTTTTTTTTTTTTTTTTTTTCAGCAAATGAAAGTATGGTTTGCATAATGCTGTGAACTTTATTGCTGCTTTTTTGCAGTGCTTGGATTGAACCCAGGATTTCATGCATGTTATTTTTATTTTATTCATTTATTTATGTGTGGTGCTGAGAATCAAATCCAGTGCCTCACACATGCTAGGCAAGCGCTTTACCACTGAGCTACAACCTCAGCCCTTGCTAAAGTCTTTTTTAAGCATCAAGTGATATGATCAATTCAGAAGGATACCTCCAAAGCAATAGAGAGGAAGAATTAGAGAGTTGAGGCTGGAGGCCAGGAGACCAACTGATGGGATCTTAAGGTTGATAATCTTCAAGAATATTCTGGCCAGGCTCCGTGGTGCATCCCTGTAATCCCAGCGGTCCAGGAGGCTGAGACAAGGAGGGTTGCGGGTCCAAAGCCAGCCTCAGCAATGGCGAGGTTCTTAGCAACAGTGAGACCCTGTCTCCAAATAAAATAGAAAATAGGGCTGGGGATGTGGCTCAGTGGTTAAGTGCTCCTGAATTCAATCCCTAGTATAATAATAATAATAATAATTTGAAAAATCATGAGAGCCTAAACAATGAAGTGTGAATGGAGAGGAGTGATGGGGTAAGGTTTAGCAGAGTAGAATTGATCACTTCTTGGGGGGAATTAGTAGCCGGACAGAAGGAAAAGTCCTGGATGTACCCAGGTTTTTGGTTTGTGCAGTAGGGTGGATGGTAGTACCCGCCATTAAAATAAGGACCACAGTGGAGATGTGTTTGGGTTATATAAAAATTTTGATGAAGCTGGGTTCAGTTTGCAACATTTGAAATGACCATAGGATCAGTAAGTAATTATATATACTGATTTGTATTTTTTTAGTAAATAAAGCTTAAGAATTTTTCATTTTTTGATAGTAAATCTTTTATTTATTTTAGGAGACTGTGGCTCAGGGGCTAAAGGAGGGCCAGTTAAGCAAACAGAAATGTTCCTCTGCATTTCAAAACCTCCTTCCTTTTTATAGTCCTGTGGTGAGTATGGGTAAAAGTATAGGGGTCTGTATTTCACAGGATTACTAAATGTTCTCAAGAAGGACTTCATCTTTCAAGGCCATTGTCAAAAAAGATGGTACACATCACATGATTTAATGCCCTGTCAGGAAGATGGCTACTGGCTAATTCATAGTACTGGCCTAAGTGTAATTCTGATTTTAGGAAGAAATCAACATGGAATTTATGCTGTCTCTTTCTGTTATAAAGTAGAAAGCATAGGTATTAAGCAAAAGTAAGATTCTTATGAAGAGTTGGTATTTTGGGGGGTGGGGGGAATACTAGGGATTGAACCCGGGGCACTCAACCACTGAGCCACATTCCCAGCTCCCTTTTGTATTTTATTTATAGACAGGGTCTCACTGAGTTGCTTAGTTCCTTGCTTTTGCTAAGGCTGGCTTTGAATTCAAGATACTCCTGCCTGAGCCTCCTGAGCTTGATTTTTATGTGAGAATTTTGTGTTGGTATCCCCTACAAGTACATTCAGCTGGGATTACAGGTGTGCACCACTCTGCCCAGCTGTTTTTATGTTCTTCAAATAACACATTTGCTACCATTGGAGGCAGTTTCTAAATAGAAAAATTTAAAGGAAAATAAGTACAAAAGGAAGGCATGCAGAAATATGTTGAAAAGGAAAATATTAATAAACTATAGTAATGGACTTTTTTTTTTTTTTTTTTTTTGTACCAGGGATTGAACCCAGAGGCACTACTGAGCCACATCCCCAGTCCTTTTTTATTTTTTATTCTGAGACAGGGTCTCACTAAATTGCTGAGACTGATGTTGGATTCTCCTGGCTCAGCCTCCTGAGGTGCTAGATTTACAGGTGTACAACACTGCGCCCGACATAATAATGAACCTTAAAGGGGAATCAGCAGGAGGATAAGTAGTAGCTCAAGAATTAAAATATAAATAAATAAAAAAGTTAGGTATAGTCACTTCCTTCATGATGATTCGGGGGACCGTGATATCATCTGGAAATTCATCAACATATCTGTCTGTTGAACTATTTAGAAAACCATGGGTAGAACATTTTTTATAGTCAGAATATCTTCAATCACCGTTTTTCTCACTATATTTATTTGATTCTTTTGTTTGACTCCCAGGTGGAGGACTTCATTAAAATCTTACATGAAGTCGATAATGTCCTTGCTGATGACCTGCAGGAAAGCTTCCCAACTTTGAAGGATCAGGCTTGAAAAATGAGTTGGAATTTCTTCTGTCTAAGAAATAAACTTGATTTTTTTCATAGTTGAAATTGACATAAAGGAAATATTAGATAAAACTGGTACTAGACACAATTGCCTAGTGTTGTGCCCTTCTTCCTCTCTAGACTTACCTCAATTATTTGGTATTAAAATCTGAACTTCACCTCCCTCTATTTTTAATATTGCTTATGAGTTATTTATCTTTAGTTGAAGAGAGCAAAAATACAAACTTACCATTGAGGTTCTTCTAAGAATATTTGAGGGGTTGGTAAGGTTTTCTTCATAACTATTACTTTGATTTTTATGTGAGAATTTTGTGTTGGTATCCCCTACAAGTACATTCAGCTGCAGTAACAGAAAACTCTTATTAGTAACTTAAGTCTTTTATGTATTTTGTGTATTTATGCAATAAGAAGTTCAGAGTGGGGCTGTCCAGCTCTGAGAAGTAACTCAGGGACACTGCTTCCTTTTATCTTTCCATGAGACATGTATACCTTTATATTCATGTTTATTGTTTCATGGCTAAGGGTTCTTCATTCAGAAAGAAAAAGAGGCAAAGGGGTTTCCTCTAGCAAGTCTTATCCTTTGTATTGAAAGGATAGCCCTCTCTGGCCTTCTTTATCACATGGTCATTCCTAGTTGTAAATGTTTAAAATTTTTTCTTTGTAGTCTATGTAGGAGAGAATAGTAAGAAAGAAGGGAGGTATGAATGGTGCTTGGATAGCCAGTTGATGGTCTTTGCTATAACATGTAAATATATTTTAGCCACTTTGTGAAAGTAATTTGTGTTGATTCCTTTCCAAACTGTTAGTAATTACTCAAAAGCAGTTATTGCTCTTAGTTTACCTTTGTTACATTTCAATTTTATTTTCCTACATTGGACATATGAAGGTAGAAATGTTGACATTGTGATAAAAGCATATTAGCCAATTTCTTTTTTCAGCATTATTCCAGTAGTTGAATTTCAGAAAGTGATTCGCTTGAGGAAATTCAGATTTTTTAAAAAAAATTAAGATTGAGGGGAGTTGGTAGCTTCTGATGATTTACAAACTGTGCTGTACACACACACTTTATTACTCTGTATAGTGTTTTCTAATGAATGAATTGTATTCAGGTACTATCAACCAGCTATGCTTAAAAAAGCATCCAGTTTGTATTATTTCAGATACTAAAAAGTGGAATTTCTAATAGATTTAAAGAAAATATCAGTTATGAGTAATAAAGCTAGCTTTTAAAGCCCATTCCACAGTTGTCTTAGAATCTTTTTTTTTTTTAATATTTATTTTTTAGGTGTAGTTGGACACAATGCCTTTATCTTATTTATTTATTTTTATATGATGCTGAGGATCGAACCCAGGGCCTCACATGTGCTAGGTGAGCGCTCTACCGCTGAGCTACAACCCCAGCCCCTGTTTTAGAATCTTTAAGGTAGTGGTCTTTTCTTACACTTTGTTTACTTTCCTTGAGGGATTTTTGTTGATAAAACACAGAGATAACTCTTATTGATAAAAGAAGACTGATTCCAGTTTGGAGGAAGTTTTATTGTTTGAATTATCACTGTTGAAAAGAATGAGACCATAAAATTAAAATCTTAGAGTTGAAACTTTTAACTGGTAGGTTTACTTTATGTTTGTATGTCCTGAGGGCTGGTCTTATTGATAGACTGAATGTGTTTATTTAACATGAAGTTTCAGAGGCACCAGTGAAATGACCTGCTAGCCAATGCTAAAACTCCAGTTTTATTTCTTTAAATATAAGGTTGAGATGCAAATACCCTATAAAAGTAACACTTGAAATTATTGGCTTTATTTTCCTTAGTGCATATACCTTTCATATTGCTTTCCTGAAAACATGTTTTAAGGGGGGGAACACAAGGCTTGGGGGTTCTGAGGAAGAGAGTGCTACCCAGAGGATGAGTTATAGAGGGAAAAAAAATGGGTTATTTTATAGGAAGGTAGGATGTGTTATTTCTGATTCACATTTCTTTTACTTTGGACCTGACCTATTTTCTTTATTATTTCTTTCTATTATAACATTATAAGCTGCTTTCGTAGTATTTTTTGATACATTTGAACATTTGTTAAATCTGTAAATTATAATAATAGTTCAGTATAAACTTTTAAAATGTTACATGATCTGAAGAGTTCACTACAATGTTCTATATTTGAATCAGTTGCAGTGGTATTTTGAATGATGGTTCTCCAGAACATAAATATGATATTTGAAAGTACATGTACAAATAAAATTGAAACTCACTCTTTCCCTACACTTTTTTGTAGGAGGAGAGGGAAAAAATTGAGAGGAACTTGAGTTAGCCTTTATTATATGTGGTGTCATTGTTTCTAATTAAATTTGAATTAGATTTTCAAAGTATTTAAATCATTTTTTAAAAAAGACATATTCTCCAGGGCTGTGGTTGAAGCTCAGTGGTAGAGAGTTGCCTCGTACACGTGAGGCACTGGGTTTGATCCTCAGCACCACATAAAAATAAATAAATAAAAATAAAGATATTTTGTCCACCTACAACTAAAAAAAATAATAATAATAAAAAAAGAAGACATATTCTTCTGCCTTTTTAGAAGATATTTTGTCCCTTTCAGTTAATGGGATATTATTAAACTCTTGTTTTTTTTGGCTGATCCGTCATTCTAGATGAAGAACTTTTCCAACTGTCTTTAATTTCCTATTGCCTTACTTTTGAATTACTCACCTTGATAACTCTGGCATTTTAAGTGAGGAAAAGTTTAAAAGGCACCTCTCAACATGTATACTTTTACATGTGAACACACTCATACACACAAACTTTTTTTAATGATGTGCATGCAGAAACTAACTGTAGACATTAAGGAACAACCTCTGAAGTAAATCATTAAGTCTTAAGTGAACATCACTTTCTGTTGTACAGGATTGAGCTATAGTGATGGTGTAGAGCTGTGTTTGAGTAAATTAAAGAAAAGGAATGCTGAGATTATAGATTATCTTGCCTGTTTTAACTAGTATTCTTTATAACCTTATCAATATCCTATTTTTTCAAGGAATAGATTTCTGTAATTTAGGGTTAATGTATTCTATATGAACATATCTTTTACCACTTTGCAACTTTAATCTTTTCTATATTCTTGGTAGAAGTTTTAAGGAAGGAAAAATAAGTAAGTATCACTCTTGAGATCCATTCCGATATTTTTGTTACTAGTGTGAGATCTAATCCAAGAACCATTATGAACGGTCATGTATGTACAATGAAATGGTATGATGTCTTGGATTTGCTTCAAAATAGTCTTCAAAATAGGGGTAAGAGGAAGGAAGGTGGGATAAGTGAAATAAGATTGGCTATGAATTGGAATTGCTGTAGCTGGGTGATGGTTACATGGGGGTCTGTTACACTGCTGTTTCCTCTATTTTTGTATGTTTGAGATTTTCTATTAAAGTTTTTTAAAAACAAACCCCATGATTTTAAGCCTGAGTTTAATTATGAATAATGCTATTCACATAAGAATCAAATTATTATAATATTAAATATTTCTGAATTCAAAACAGTTGAAACCAACACAAATACTTGATAGGGTTATCAGTATATAACCAAGTATGTAAGAATTATTATCTTTATCTCATTGTTGATGTCACATATGTTTTAGTGCCATAGTGTTATACTTTTGGGGTCTGGAGGTTATTGGGGATTGAACTCAGGGGCGCTCAACAACTGAGCCATATCCCTAGCTCATTTTTGTATTTTATTTAGAGACAGGGTCTCACTGAGTTGCTTAGTGCCTTGCCCTTACTGAGTCTGGCTTTGAACTTGCAATCCTCCTGCCTTAGTCTCCTGAGCTGCTGAGATTACAGGCTTGCGCCACTGCGTCCAACCTACTGGTATCCTTTTACTAACAGAATCTCTTATTGTTAATTTTTTAAAATATATATATTTTTTAGTTGTAGTTGGACACAATAGCTTTATTTATTTATTCACTTATTTCATGTGGTGTTGAGAATCGAACCCAGTGCCTCGCATATGCTAGGTGAGCACTCTACCCTGAGCCACTGTAGTCTGCTCGTAGAGTAGTAAAGAAAAGAAGCAGAATCATAGAGATAGAGACGGAAGTTTTTTAAGAGATGACCTATGTCCAATACTTAATTCTTTCGTCTAGTCAGACCTACAAGAGCAGGTAAATGTTGTCCTTAGGGCTGGCCTAGGCCCAGAGCAACAACCACAGGAAACCAGGCAAGACTAAAAGAGTGGAAAGAGGAGGACACCTTGTGGTAGATGCTGCCAGCTCTCTGCTCTCACCTTATATTTGTTCATCAATCTGCTTTGTATTTTTGTATAGAATGCAGAGTCTACATTGTTAAAATTTGATGATGGACCTTAGGTTAATTTTCATAAAGTCAAATTTGCTTAAATACATTGTTTAACAACTCAGGCAGCATCTGTAAGATAAAAGCTAAAGGTCTGTGGCTGTAGCTCAGTGGCAGAGCACTTGCCTAGCACCTGTGAGGCACTGGGTTCTATCCTTAGTATCATAAAAATAAATACCATAAAGGTGTGTTTTTCATCTACAACTACAGAAAAAAATTAAAGAATACAAAAAGATAAAAGATAAAGAAGCATCTCTGAGTTTCTAGTTAGTTTCCTAGCCAAAGATTTTGGAATATTAGACTACTCCTTATTCCATGATTATTGTGCCCATGTAACTATATTTTCTTCAGAGCTATATATTTCCCTGGATGTTCATGCCTGCAAACTTCTATAATTTAGCAGCACCATAGAGTAATCATTTTCATTTTACTCTAATTTTTCCTACTTTAGGGCCCTAACAAGGAACATAATTCTGAAAAAGAACCATGTTAAGTTGAAATTAGACCTGGATGAGAGGATCTATACATCATCTGTGCTTTTTTGATTAGCTATGGCTTGGCTATGTGTGTGCATCTCTAATATAATCAAGTTGGAATTAAATTGAAGCATAATTTACTTAAGGTTGTGATAAGACACCAGACTTAATTTTCCTGGTAGAAATGACCACCGCTTGTGTGGAGTTTACTATTTGCCTGATACTCTATAACGATCTTTACGTAGGTTATTTAATTCTTCAATAATTCCAGAAGATGACTGCTACCATTTATGGAAATGGTAATTTATGGAAATGGGAAAATGAAGATTCAGAATGTTAAGTAACTTCTCCAACGTTACATAAGTTGTAAGTAGCTGACCCACAGTTTGAGTCTAGGCTTGCCTGGCACTAGGGCTTGTCCCGTGAACCACTGTACTATACTTGCATCCTGTAAGTTGACATGGACCAGATCATGAAAATGTTTACATATCACGGACTGCAGTACTGCACCCCTGTAATCCAAGTGTCTCAGGAGTCTGAGTCAGGAGGAGCATGAGTTCGAGGCCAGTCTCAACAACTTAGCAAGACCCTGTCTCAAAAAAAAAAAAAAAAAAAAAAGGTCTGGGTTATAGCTCAATGGTAAAGTGCCTTTGTGTTCAATCCCAGTTATTGATTCCCCCACCCAAAGAAAAAAGAAAAAGTAAGTGTTCATATATATCATGTAGTATATACAGCTGGGACATCTGTTTATTCTATCTACTTCTTGAAGAGTTGCCCCTAATATACCTACATTCTTCCTTGTTTTCAGCATGTGGTTGAACAAGAGATTTATTTCTGAGTCAAGCTGGGCAAATCAGGTTGACTCAGGAGATAACTCCTCAAGATCATATATACCTTACAAGGGTAAGGGCACTCTGTGGGGCAGTCATTTATTGACTGCTATATTATAGGCATTATTTGAATCACTAGGAAGACAATGAATGAAATAAAATATGCATAGAGGAAATACTGCTGTGGACAAAGAAGACAAAAATCTTGGCCTAATGGGGCTTGCATTATAAATTGATGTGTAAGAGGAGTAGAGGAAGAAATGGGTCTGCATAGAGGGGTAAACAAAAGAGGTCATGCATCCTATAGCAGATTGGATCATTATTCTCAAAGTTATCTCTGTGTATCTGTCCTTGCCATGGCTTATTAATGTATGGAGTGTATTTTCCTGTCCCGTGACTTTGAGCTGGGCCAAGTTGCTTTGGTCAGTAGAATGCTAACTAATTTTTTAGAACTGAAAGTAGAGTGCTCTAATGTGCTTGTGCAATTTGACCTCTAATGTTCCTGTCATTCAATATAAGAAGAGCATGACCTGGGTAGCAATTGGTCCATGGGAGATTAGAAACATGGAGCAAACCTAAACCCATTCTATAGCCTGCAGTCAGGAGTTCAGCCTAACCTAGCTGAGTTGCCAACCTGTACACCGGGGAGCAAGAACTAAATACTTATTGTTTTGAGTCATTGAGTTTTGGAGTGGTTTGTTACACAGCATTATTGAAGTGATAGATTTCTGAAATAGCCTGAGTGCAAAGCTGCATTACTGCTCAGCAACTTTCCAGCTCCATGTCATAGTCTTTTATGGGTCTCAGCAATAGTTCCTGTTTTAGTTGTCTGAAATATCCCTATATCTATAATTTCACTTACAGTGAGTTCCACTTGAGATGTGGTGATTGCATCCATTTCTTATTTTTTTTAAATATTAATTTTTTAAAAAAATATTCTTTTAGTTATAGAAGGATACAATACCTTTATTTTATTTTTTTTTCATTTTTATGGGGTGCCGGGGATGGAACCCAGTGCCTCACACATGCTAGGCAAGCACTCTGCCACTGAGCCACAAACTGGGCCCCTAAATATTTATTTATTTATTTATTTATTTTATTTTATTTTTTTGGTGAATTTCATCAGATTTTTTTTTCCTTTTTATTGGTTATTTTTAGGTACATATAACACCAGGACTCATTTTGACATAATTATAAAGGCATAGAATATAATTTTCTTTTTTTTTTATGAGACAATTGAGTAACTTTTTTATTTTTTTTTTAATTTTTTATTGTTGGTTGTTCAAAACATTACATAGTTCTTGATATATCATATTTCACACTTTGATTCAAGTGGGTTATGAAATCCCATTTTTACCCCGTGTACAAATTGCAGAATCACATCAGTTACACATCCATTGATTTACATATTGCCATACTAGTGTCTGTTGTATTCTGCTGCCTTTCCTATCCTCTACTATCCCCCCTCCCCTCCCCTCCCCTCCCCTCTTCTCTCTCTACCCCCTCTACTATCATTCATTTCTCCCCCTTGTATTATTTTCCCCTTTCCCCTCACTTCCTCTTGTATGAAATTTTGTATAACCCTGAGGGTCTCCTTCCATTTCCATGCAATTTCCCTTCTCTCTCCCTTTCCCTCCCACCTCTCATCCCTGTTTAATGTTAATCTTCTTCTCATACTCTATTCTTAGTTACTCTCCTTATATCAAAGAAGACATTTGGCATTTGTTTTTTAGGGATTGGCTAGCTTCACTTAGCATAATCTGCTCTAATGCCATCCATTTCCCTGCAAATTCTATGATTTTGTCATTTTTTAATGCAGAGTAATACTCCATTGTGTATACATGCCACATTTTTTTTTATCCATTCATCTATTGAAGGGCATCTAGGTTGGTTCCACAGTCTTGCTATTGTGAATTGTGCTGCTATGAACATCGATGTAGCAGTGTCCCTGTAGCATGCTCTTTTTAGGTCTTTAGGGAATAGACCGAGAAGGGGAATAGCTGGGTCAAATGGTGGTTCCATTCCCAGCTTTCCAAGAAATCTCCATACTGCTTTCCAAATTGGCTGCACCAATGTGCAGTCCCACCAGCAATGTACAAGTGTACCCTTTTCCCCACATCCTCGCCAGCACTTGTTGTTTGACTTCATAATGGCTGCCAATCTTACTGGAGTGAGATGGTATCTTAGGGTAGTTTTGATTTGCATTTCTCTGACTGCTAGAGATGGTGAGCATTTTTTCATGTACTTGTTGATTGATTGTATGTCCCCCTCTGAGAAGTGTCTGTTCAGGTCCTTGGCCCATTTGTTGATTGGGTTGTTTGTTCTCTTATTGTCTAATTTTTTGAGTTCTTTGTATACTCTGGATATTAGGGCTCTATCTGAAGTGTGAGGAGTAAAGATTTGTTCCCAGGATGTAGGCTCCCTATTTACCTCTCTTATTGTTTCTTTTGCTGAGAAAAAACTTTTTAGTTTGAGTAAGTCCCATTTGTTGATTCTAGTTATTAACTTTTGTGCTATGGATGTCCTATTGAGAAATTTGGAGCCCGATCCCACAGTATGTAGATCGTAGCCAACTTTTTCTTCTATCAGATGCCGTGTCTCTGATTTGATATCAAGCTCCTTGATCCATTTTGAATTAACTTTTGTGCATGGCGAGAGAAAGGGATTCAGTTTCATTTTGTTGCATATGGATTTCCAGTTTTCCCAGCACCATTTGTTGAAGATGCTATCCTTCCTCCACTGCATACTTTTAGCCCCTTTATCAAATATAAGATAGTTGTAGTTTTG